AAATAAAGCATGATGGTAGGAGGCGAATCCAAGAAGATGGGCTTATGAAGATTTACATCTTTCAACTGCTGAGTAGGACTATGTTTGAAATTGGCTTCCTGATAGGCCAGTACTTACTCTATGGATTTGAAGTCAGTCCAACGTTCCTTTGTAGCAGAAATCCATGTCCCCATTTTATTGACTGTTTCATTTCAAGACCCACAGAAAAAACCATATTCCTGCTCATCATGTATGGTGTGAGTAGTCTCTGTTTACTTCTGAATATCTGGGAAATGCTTCACTTGGGATTTGGCACCATTCGGGACACATTGAATAACAAGCGGAAGGAGCTAGAAGATTCAGGAACTTATCATTATCCTTTTATTTGGAATACTCCATCAGCTCCTCCAGGGTACAATATTGCAATGAAACCTGACCAAGTACAGTACACAGAGTTGTCTAATGCCAAAATAGCACATAAGCAAAATAAAGCCAATATTGCCCAAGAACAACAATATGGCAGCAATGAGGAGAACATTCCCACTGAACTGGGGAACATCCAGCGAGAAATCAAAGTAGCTCAGGAACGCTTAGATCTTGCCATCCATGCATATAATAACCAGAATATCCCATCCTGTTCCAAGGAGAAGAAGCCCCGAGGCAGCTCAAACAAAAGCAGTGGCAGTAGTAAATCGGGGGATGGAAAAACTTCTGTTTGGATTTGATGCTGTTCACTTGAGAGGGAATGCTACCTTTTTCTTGTAGCATATCTAGCAAATTGGGTGCGAAATAATTTCCAGTAAAAAATAATTGGCCTTGCTAAAGTTCAGGGATGCTTTGTGCTGCTAAATGGTACTGTTCAAAAGAACAGAAGAGAAAAGGCTATGCTCACATTCTGATATTTCCAAAACATGTATTCATGTTTCTTCCAGATCTGCAGATGTCCCAGGGATTTTTTTTAATTATTTTTGTTAAAAGAGTTTATACTGTATGTACAATATTATGGTACCTTTTATTATGCACATTTTGTATTTGTATATTGGATATCTCAGTTATGCATTTTGTATTAAAAGAATCAAATAGGAATTCTCAACATTTTTCTAAAGCATTTTCTCCTCATATTTCATATTTACTTTGAATTTCAGAGAGGTTTGAATTATGGAGCAGATAATTCTGAATGACTGTCATAAACAGATGTAACCCCTTGTCCAGCCAAATAAATTAAACATTAGGTTAGTGAAATATGTCTTCTGATGTAGTCGGATTTTTTTTTCCTGTAGTGAATATCCTTGAATATGAGTGGACAAAAAATGATTTTCAAACTGACTGCTTCTAGCATATAACCTTGTATTCAGTTTATGAGTCTTCCGAGAAAAAAGTGCCTGGAATTGAAAATGTTTTCTGAATAAAAAAGGTAAATAGTTCAACCACTGTGTGAAAATAAAACTTCATGTACCCGATGATTTAAAACATACATTTGATAGTGCAAAGTAGGAAAAGCAGTTAGGTATCTTCCAGAATTCAGATAATTCATACTGCATCCCCCATATTACTGACTTACGTTGGTTGGAATTATAGTCCAAATAGAGTGCCTACCTCCTATTTAGGGAGGACTTCATCCCCTCTTGATCTTGGAAACAATTTAAAGTTTAGAAAAAAGTTAGGCTAGTTAAATTAGTGTTAAGACAAAGAAAGGCCTGCTTTCTTGAAACTTGAACCTGTATTCAAACGGTGGGGAAAAAATATTTTGATTTAAGGGAAATATTGTATTAACAGAATTAAAATACTTGCCTTTATTTTGAAGTGGGAAATGTTATTTTAAAGGCACGTGACGCACAACATGATTCTTCAGGAGATTCTTTATTGTGAGAAGGAGTGAGGGATTATGAATTTGAAGTGATGGAAAAATTTGTACTTTAACAAATCTGTTTATTTTAGCAGTGTCCAATGTCAATCTTCCTCCTTGATCTTTTAAATTCCTGTCCTGCTATTTATGGATTGCATGCAAAAAGCAGCAGGAAGCTACTTGGGAGCGTATATTCTAGTCTTGTGAAACTGCAGGCTGTTCTAATACATAGATCCTTCGAAGGAGAGTTTCAGCTCCATACAGCAAAATGGAAGTCTTACTTCTTTCCTAATAAGAAGACAAAACGGTTAGCTACCAGCTTTTGGAGCTCGCCCATTGTTTGGTTCATAGATTGGATGTATTTGAATTGCTGAGGTTTTGTTATGATGCTGAATTGATAACATTTGCAAAATTTGGCAAGTAAATAGAATTTGGATTTAAAGCAATACGTGCTCATTAAAAGAAAGGCTTTGTGTATTTTACTTCATTCAAAATATAGTAAAGTCTGAATTAAAAGCAATGGGTAACAATGACACTATCTCAAGTGCTTGTCATTTTTCCTACTGCCGTGATACAATCACTGAATAAACTGGCTTTGCAAAAATCTAATAGCTGTTTAAGTGGAAAATGGGGTTGTGTCCAAATTTAGATGCATTCAACCCATTTTTGGTAGCAAATGGAGATGCTTGAAATAGATACTGGAGATACTTAACAAGCAGGGTAGGCAATTTGGTGAGGAAGGATGGGTTCTTCCAAAATTGCATCTTTTTGTGTTATGTTCAAATTATACAGGATACATCTCCCTAACTATTCCATCCACCATACACAAAGCCTGTCTCATTTAGCAGAATCCCTAGTTTTTTGTGCAATATTTTAAAAGGCCTAGATACAAATGCATATCAATGTGCTGTTCGGCCTATAACTTGACAAATTGCATTGAGAAATATGAGTTTTGAATAAGAACAGTTTATGCTGCTTCTACTATTGAAAAATCTGTATTCCAAAAATTATTTCAGGAATGTAGTTTTTAAGATTACTTCAGTGTTGGTATTTAGTAGAGATCATTTTAATTAAATGATGTAAATATCTCTCCAGCTGCTTTTCTTATCACTCCAAATTTGGGGGCTTATGTGCATGTTCAGTTTTTTTTTTTTAACTGAAAAAAAAACAGGCAAGATTTAATATTCAGCTTGTGTTTATAATTATAGAATGCAATGTTTATTGTCTTTGTGATATCTTATTGGCAAGGACAGAGAAAAGTACATACAGGATTTGTGTACGTTGATTATTAGAATTGCAGAACTGCTTCATTTTCCTCCCTGAATTCTGACAAGAAACTGCACTGATGTGAAACTATTTTATGATTTTTTCCCCCCTAGAATTTAAGAGGCCTTTTGAGAAGTTTTTACATTTTCACTTTTTTTCAATTCTAAAAATTTATAGATTACCTTTCTTGAAGCAAGTCTGAGTTTACAATATCTGAGTCAGAAATGGAAAACCTGTGTTTATAATTAAATAACCCCAAGGCTTAGAAAGGGAAGGCTAGATAATTTTTACTTCCCTTTCTAAGACGGTACTGCTTTAATCCTGATCATTAATCATGCTGAATGTTACTGATACAATTTATAATCCAATATATTTGGAGAGTCTCCGATTCTGCTTGTTTTGAAGAATTTCAGCATTGTTAAAAAGAAATGTTTGCTGTCTTTTATCTTTAAATACACAAGACTGCATGTAAAAATAGTGAATAGTTGGGCCAATACTTGAAGAGCACCTAGCTTCTTCAAGAAGTAGTATAATAGCTATATAAAGTTTCCCTAAAAGAGAATATTTGATGGATGAGTAGGCTTATAAAAAGGTTGTTTTAAACATATAGCATTGCTTTGCCATTCTAGGACCTCCTCACACCAGAAAAATAGCAAATTTTGCAATTTTTAACAAAGACACTTTGGATGCAGGATGTAGAAATACTGTGAATTTATGAATGCCAGCAGGAAATACTTAGCTTTTCAAGGACGATTTCAATATAAAACGACATTCAGTGAGAAGCTGGAAAAATTTACCAAGTGAATATTTTCTGGAACCTTTATTCATCTGCTTGAATTGAAATTAAATAAGTAACAAAGTTAATAGTCAAATGTTTGGATGGTGCTATAAAAGGAAAGAGTTCATGAACTTTATTCTGAAGTTTGTCTTGAATAAAATGCAGCCTATGTTGGATACAAGAAGTCTACTAACAGTTGCACCCATAATTTTATGTGTATACATGTTTCTTCTTGCACTGAAGATGGATGGCACACATACAGGGTTTTGGGACATGAAAGATCATATGGTAATAAAATGCATAACTAGCTGTCTGCATGGCTGCAGATCTCAGTATTGCCTTTCAAATGTAGGAGATGTTACTTCTTTTTTGCTTGGATAAAATAGTAGCTGATAACAGAATTTTAATTATCTGGGATCCTTTTTAAACAAGCAAAGTGGGTGGGGTTGAGTCAGACTCTCCATGTCCAAATAATAAAATCACGGTTTTCCTGCTTTTGGAAAGCATTTTAGCATCCAAGAAGAGACAGGAAAGGAGAAATGGAAAGAGGAAGGCGAAAGAAGAAAAAAAAAGGAAAGATGGGAAAAGAGCAAGGAAGAAAAAAGAAGAGGGGAAGGAAGGAGAATGAAGAAGGAAGGAATGAAGAAAGATAATGAGAAAGGAGGGTGTGAGGGAAGTCCTGTCTTAGCACTTGGCCAGTACAGGTGCTGCCATGAGTGATGTTGAGCTGGCCATCCCCCTGAAGATCGAACAACCCTGATGAGGCCCTCAATGAAATAGAGTTTGACACCCCTGCTCTTGATGATCAACTATACAATCTCCTTGTGTACTTTTAGGATATACTACTATTATATTGCAATCTGTCCCTTGCACTCCGAGGGGGAATCAACAACCGTTTTGTAGGATACCTATCCCTATAAGGAAGGACCAAACTTAGTTCCCAAAAGGTACTGTGTAAAAGAAAGATTGAATTCTTTCCCCTGCTCCCAAAGTCAAGTGAAAAAAGCCAAAATATTTTTTAAATGTCCATTAACCTAATCCATGAGCGAGAAACCATGTGAAAATCGTGTCACGTAAATTTCTGTAAATTTGTTAACAAGTAAAATTAAGCATATAAAATTGCAACATTACTTTGATAAAATTTTATTTGATTTTTCCATACAACATAGCATCAAGGTCTGGTAACAGAAAACACCTGTCACTTTAAGTTGAAGTTCTATTTAAAAAAGAAAGGAGCAGCATCAAATGTGCTCATTTTGCATGGGGGAATCACAGGACAGAACACACTGACAATCAAAGACAACCATCTTCCCTACCAACTGCTCAGGTGCCAAAATCCACATATTCACTGAAACAAAACGGTGTATCTTACTTGTCTCAGAAGCAAGCTTGCATCTCCTTGCGGAAGTGCTAAGCCTTTCTAAAAAGCAGGGTTAGTATTAGGGTTATGCATGAAGAGTAAAATCTTAATAAAAACTTCTATCATACCTCAGGAAAGGGTGGGCTGAGCAGCCCTTCTTTAAACAAAAGTGACTCGACACCTGTAGTGGTTCAATTAGACAATTAGCATCTCTTTACTTTGCAAACACTATCAGAAAAAGACACTTTTGCTCTTCAGAAATCAGGTGATGCCACCCAGAGTAATACGCTAGGCCAAGTGGGAAGAGGATAGGGTGAGGTGGGACAAGGCTGGAAGGGGCAGTGTGGCAAAATCATCTGCCAATCTTAATGGGGTTTTTTTTGTTTTTTTTGGAAAATGGATTGAAACTCCCCCTCTTTCAAGGTTAAGGAATGACCGAGGCAAAGAAAATCATTGCGCACATGAAATCTTCAGAGCAGAAGCTCAGGATGGCAGCTTTTTCAGATTCTAGGTTATAGCCCTCATGACTTTGGACAGGGCAGTGCATCATGGATGGGAAGGAAGAATGTAGAAGTTAAAAGGGTTGACTTAATATAAATGTAGATGGCCTATTTGGCCCATAGTGGTGACAAGTGTAGAATAGAAGACATCCTTTAGGATCTGAATAGCAATTTGGCAAAAATGGCCCTGGTTCATTCACCTTCTTATACCACTCCTGAAACAGTTCACTCTAATTCAAGGCCACAAACAAATCCACCCAAAAAGGCACTTCAGAGTAGAACATGGGCATCAATAGAATGTGGGGAGGCGCTGCCAGTGTCCCAACGGGAAGGCTTTCTGTAGCAGTGATATCCAAGCACGGAACAATAGAAGCCAGAAGGACAGCAGTGGCGCCTGTCGTGACAACAGGTTCCCTATGAAATAGAAGAGGAGATAAGGAAGCAATCCTTAATTAAGAAACAAGAAAGTTGCTCGAAATCCTTACACGGTTCTCAATAAATCTACAAGCTAAGGAAGGATGACCTGGAAAAATATTTAGTAATTAAAGACAGAAATAGCTTTAAATCATGAATTTACAATACAATTTATATGTAATGCAGGGGCTTACATTATTTACAGTAACAGCAAGTTCTCCAACTTTTGAAGAATTATGGTTTCTTTCAGCGGTCTATCTGTTACCAAACTTAAAAATGCATTTTTGGGAAAAAATAATATAATCATACTTTACTTTACTTGCCTTATTGGTTTTATCAATGCTCATGAGAAAGTCCTGAGGACTCAAAAATTAGCATAGAAAATTTATGATGGAATTTGATAGTCTATTCCCAACAAGGCTGCCTTTTTTTTTGTACAATGACAAAGACAACATTCTAGTAAAATATGGGTGTTCTTAGATTGCTTTATTGATTTGGGGAGAGCCGTCCTGTCTGCCCACCCACCCATGGCCTCCATTCACCGCTATTCACCCCAACTGAGTCTACCTCTGGGCACTAACCTTTTCATAGGGGCAGCAGGCCCAGCTACTGTTCTTGGCCTTGCAGCAGGTCTGGCCCACGTGGCAGTAGTGCTGTTCACCACACAAGACATCCTGATTGGAGGCAGCATTTTGCAATGAAGTCAGCAGGTCCCCTGCAGCATCAGCAAGGCGTGGCCGGTGCCGTTTCTCACAAGACTGGGCTGCCACATTGCAGGTATAGCCAAAGGGGCAGCAATGTTGGTGATCCTCACAGCAAATGGCCTGTAGAAAGCGAGAGGAGGTATTTGCTTGGTTTGCGGTAAAAGTACACCTTAGGGTGGAACATTTTAAGGGAACTAAATAAAACAATTTTATAACAGCTCTATTTTGCTTCAAAGAAACCTTTACCCAAAAGACAGAAACACCCCTTTATTCCTTCTTTTTCCCATTTCCTTGCTAAATTTAAAATGTCTGAATTAAGATATGAATTAGATAGAAAAAAATAGAGTAGCTAAAAGCTCTGAACGGCTCATAGATGACACTTCTCTCAAGGAGATACTCTATGAATCTCCAGATGTAAGTGCTTGTTCTGCTAATAAGGAAAGCCTTAGCCTGGTCTCCAGGCTTAATTCACAACCATAACAGGAATGTGAAAGGGCACCTTTAGGACTGCAGTGGATTAAATTAATGGCAAGTATGGAAGTAAGTATGGAAGCTCTTTGGGAGTCCAATGCATTTAATGGAAATTCTTTTCATTAACTTTCAAGCCTGCAAAGGATTGAAACTTCAACACCTCATACCTCTCCGTGCCTAGAAAAAGAAACTGTAGGAAGTGCACAGCTAGCCTTTTCCCACAGTGTTTCTGGGATCAAAAAAGCCAAGATAGTGGCTATGATCACATGACTAAAACCCCACCCCTTTTTTACTTATGGCTACCATTTTGGCTTTTGTAGAAACCATTCCCCAATGTCTTCATGAACCCACCCTAGGCAGATATGACTGCACTCTGCAGAAACCCAATTCTAATTGTGTAAACAATTGTCAAGGTTCTGCTTCTTTCTTTGTCCTTGATGCTGTCGTCATGTTAAGATGCTGGCCTAGAACTTAGGAAACATGAATTCTAAGCCTTCCTTAGGCATGAATGCTGATTGGATGATTGGGCCATCACAGGTTGTGGAGAAAACAAAAGGCAGGAGAATTAAGTATGTTCAATGCCTTATTATATATTTTAAAAAGTGGGATAATAACATACAGTTTACCCTGATTAACAGGTGCTATAATCTTGTAGGTTTTTGTGGGAGCAGGCATGGTATCACAAAAGATGGCACCTGAACAGGAAAGAAATGGGAAATCACATTGGGCAGCTGGCAACAGGACCAGAAAGGCTCCGGCAGCAGGTCTGCCCTTCCTTGCAGCTGGCACTGCCATTGCAGAGAATGCCATCCTTTTGCAATATCTTGGCATGCGGTTTGGGTGCCCAAGGCAGAGACTGTTTTGATTCTTCACAGCTGCCTGTGGCTGGATCAAAAATAGGGGCAGCAATGCAAGTGGTCTGAGCTGCAGACTGCCTGCGGGAAGACAGAAAGTTGAAAGAAAGCCAAGCTAAGCAGAATCCAAAGGTGCCATGAAAAGGGCTTATGTCAGATTACTCAGTAATGCTGCACTTTTTTTAAAAGGTTTGTTTAAGGAAACAGCCAAAATGGTATTAGTCCTAATCTGGTGAGTTGGCCTTGATTTCAGGTATCATTCTCAACCAAGATTCAAATTATTTAATATACACTTTACAAAATGTTTTCCTGCATTCTTAAACTGCCATAAAAGATTAGCTAAATTAGCAAAAAATTAGGGGGACAGGGCATAAGGTTTGTGAAAGCAACAGCATCAATGCCTGCATTAGCAGATACTTTAGTTTGTTTTCATCTTGTTTTTAGAAGCTGAGATAAATTTAGTAGATGATTTATAATAGTTATATTATAACTCCATCATTCCCAACTAAGTACAACACAACTCTTCTCAAACAAAGATGGGCACCTTTTATTTCTTGCCAGTTTTTGGACCCTGAAAAACTGCTTAGGAGCCTTCTTCACTTTTTGCATTGCCCAGACTGATTGCATTGCAAAACAAACTGATATTGGAGGGTACTTGTTATTAAAGGCAGCAGCATGGCTAATGTGAGAAAGGGTGATGTTATATTCTTTCCTCCAGCAACGCTGCTAAAGTTCAATGGGAGAATCTATAAATGTGTGTGACTACCCAGGGCTGGAAAGATTGACCTCTGCCAGTATATATAGTAGCAGCTTCTATCTTCCATATTTATACTTTTAATTGATCATCACAAGATTCTGGTCTTGCATTAATCATGCTTTTCCACATCAAAGCTTGCTCTCACCAAGCTTTCTGAAGCCTACTTACTTTTGGAAAAGGACAACAGCCCCAGTTGCCAGAGGCCATTTTGCAGCAGGTCTCCTTATCTTTGCAGCTGCTGAAGTTATCACATTTTATCGCTGTCTCCTGCCTTGCCAGAATGGGAGTCACCAAGATCCCCTGGGAAGAGCCCCCACTTTTGATGCATGAACTGTGTTCTACATCACAGGTGTAATCATGAGGACAACTGTGTACTTGGTCTCAACAAACTGCCAATGGGAAAGAAATACCTATGGGGATCTAAAAATCCAAACACCATTGTTGAAATTGTTCTATGAAAGAAAAATACGACAAGTAGATCTCTTTGAAGTTATGACAGCACTGAGAAAGTAACTTTATGGCTAGTCCTCATATTTACCACGGTTGCATCCCACAGCCATGTGATTGCTATTTGTGCATTGCACAACAGGCTTCTGACAAGAAGAGCCAATGGAGAAGCTGGCAGTAAAATTGCACATCGCAAACATGCAGTGCCTTGCATAAAATCTGTGGTGACTCGCTTAATGAACACATGGCAAGTAACGTTGTATGCCTTTCAAGGTCATGTGATGTTTCACTTAGCAACTGCATTCCTTAGAGACAGAGTTGACATTCCCAACTATGGTTATTGAATGTACCAGCCTTCCCTACATGTACAACATATATCACTTCATTGTTCTCATGGTAAAAGTTATTTCTTGTACCATATCTGGAATGGGATTTGGGATGGGCTCCTAAGATCAACTATCAAAATCCCATTCCATCAGCAAGCTCTGATGGCTTTAGAAGTGAGGGGGTGAAAGTTACCTTGCAAAACACATGGAGGGTATCAGGTTGGGGAAGGCTGAGCTCATTGACTAATTCACCAATAAAAGGCTTTCACTTCGGCCACTCAAGGCAGATCTTCCAGTAGAATGGCCTGTTGTCAGGCTGTCCCAAATACCCCAAAGGTAATGTATGCAAATACATTCTTCCTATGAGACTCCATGGGTGACTGATTAAATCAACCATCTATCCAAGAAGGAAAATCGCCTACCCTGCTTTGAAATCCTCAATTTACCTGAAAGAGGGGGCAGCATGCCCAGGCTCCTGAACGCAGGCAGCATGTTTGTCCATCTGGACAGCTGTACTGGTCATCACACTTCACGTCCCTGCTGGAAGGGAGGTTGCCAACAATCGCTGTCGTCTTCTCCACCCAAGGCATACGATCTCCATCTTTTAGGCAAGTGCCTGATGATGAATCACAGTTGTAACCACTGGGGCAGCAGTGAATCTGATCCTGACAGCAAGTGGCCTGGCAGGAAAGAGGAAGGTCACATATACGGCTGAAAGTCATCAGTGGCATACTAGATCAGAAGGAATTCCTACCCTGAAGTAAAGCAGACAAACCAAAATCCCTCCACTTCATCTGAAAACCACTTCTGACTGGAGGCTCTAACTGATGATACCCCATTTCTTGCTCTCCAACTGCAAGAAGCCGAAGAATATGCAAAAGTGCAAGTTAAGACAGACTCTTTTTTTTCCTAGCGCCGTTCCTATAAAATGAAGACTGAAGAACCTGCAGCCCATGTGAAACTCCTGACTTGGCCTCCTATGAAGCCACCATATCAAATTGCCAGTATTAGAATTTCTTTTCTATTTTTTAAAAAGGCCTCAAATTGGTGAATTTACTTTTGTATTAGTCCTTCTTCTGCCTCCAGATCCCAAACCACATCAAAGAAAGGACTGAAATATGCCCCACTACTGATTTTACTTGCACAACCTCAGAAACCTTTGCTAGGTTATAAAAGTGGTTGCTCTTGGATATGAAAAAAACTGCCTTTTTAATAGACATAGGCCTCTCATAGGCGAGCCGTTATAAAACCATAACCGGACAGTATTGGAGTCAACAAGTCTGCTGCAGTTCTGCAGAAATGAACAATACAGATTGTGTGACTAAATAAAAATAAACCCCCTTCTCCTTTCCAAGACCTTCCCCCTCCCAACTTTTAACACAGGAACATCCTGGAAAGCCTAGCAACTGAGATGCATATAATTTAAGAAAGAATTATAATTTTGTGCACACCTCAAAGTGTGCACACCCAGCTATGAGCAATCTAAGTGAGAAATGAGAGGTGGACTGAAATAGCAGTGGAACACTAGCAGTGGAACATTAGCAGCATCCTCACTAGGATCAATTCCACCCTTTCCTTTCTTGCATCTATTTGCATAACTATGCAAATGCTAGGAAGCTCCTGAAAGGAAATAAAGCAATTTCACATTTCCTTTGTTCCCCACAGTAGCATTAAATAAGCTTGGGTCTCTTCTCACTTGTGTCAACGGGCAGCATCCCCAAGCACCTGTTGCAAGGCGACAACAAGTCTGGCCATCCTGGCAAGCTGTGTAGGGATCACACTGCACCATTCGACCTATGGAAGATGCTGTAGAGCTTGAGTCTATTTCTGAGGCTGTTGTGGAGCTTGCGTCCATTTTTAGCACCAAAGGAATGCTTTGGCCATCTTTCAGACAGGAGCCTTCTGACAAATCGCACTGATAACCCTTTGGACAACAATGGATTTTATCTGGGCAGCATACAGCCTGAGAAAGACATAAATTACAATCAGACCATCGTGGAATTCTTTGCCCCAAAAGGAGGTAGGAGGCTGTTTTATCACTGAATACCCATTTGGCTAGTTGTGCTGATATTGCCAATATGTTCAGTTCCTCTAAGACCAAAAATCTCTCCCTTCAACCACCCCATGTATGCCCCGCTTCCCAGCTTCCGGGTTAATTAACCATGTTTTCTGACAAACATAGTTGCTCTTACCTCTTCCAGTGGGCAGCACCCCCAAGAACCTGAGGTTGTCTTGCAGCAAGTATTTCCATCTGGGCATGCAAATTCTGAATCACACTGTACATCGTGAGCTGCAAGATGAGAAAAAAAGTTGTTATGTTCAAGAAAGAACACGAAGACTTCTCCATACACTATCTCCTCTCTTAAGCAACTGATAAACCTGCTTTCCCCAATTTGGTACCTTCCAGGTTGGCTATATTATAACTTCCAAAGTTGTCAACCAAGAACCTTTGGGTTCTATGAATGACAGCTAGCAATTCCATCACAACATCTAGAATATAGGCATATGGAAAGGAGAAGGAAGGTCACCAACAATTAGGATTACTTCTGGAACCTATGGAGGGAAGTATCCTAAATGCTCAATTTGGGAAAAGAAAATGTGAGGTGAAGTCTTAACACCATCATATGCATCTGCACTCATAATCAGCTTGTAGCAATGAGTTTATCAGTTAACTAGATTTTCTACAGAATGTGAAACAAAGTACTATAAAGTTTCTCTAATATGCTTAATCTGATTTCTTTAACGCTGATGCAAAAATTATTCTCCTTCTGCTAGGAAGAGTAGAACAGAAACAAGAAATTGGGCAAGTCATAGGCACCCTAGTCTCTTGCACACTAAGTCTTAGTAAACAATGCTTCTGGTTTCCAGTATTTCTACAGGCACTGCTCAGAACAGGAAACTTTTGCAACCTTTAAAGCTGTTAACTTCCTCTGGAAGAAAGCATACATATTTTCTCAGAAACTAGATTCTGCCCCTCATACCACATTTTACTGTTTTCTGCACTTGTGGAGGAAGAATCATGCTATAAAAAACCTGCTTCCTGAATTAGATTCACCAGCCATCTAGTTCCGCTTCTTATTTCCCTCAGAGGCTTCCCAAATGGACCACGAGGGCAGCCTTACCACCATAGAGTGAAATGAAGCAGCTGCTTTGAGCACTAAACTGGCGAAAATCCCTACTCACTATCCAATCAATGATCATTTAAAATAACAATTAGTCCAGCATCCAAAACATATGGGAAATATTTTTATTTTAAACGAAAGAAAAAATAATCTCTACCCTTCTTTCTTCTCAGTGCCTTAGGCTGCCTTTCTCCTTAGTCCAAAAAGCTCATGCCTTTTCTTCCCAAAAGGCTAGCATTCAATCCTTTTAAAAATTGGGTCTCCTCTCTAACCACATGAAGCTTCTTCTGGCACCTTGATTTTACACAGGACACTTCCTTTCGGCCACTGACCTGTCACAACACTTAATCATCTCACCTGTGTGGAAGCCTGCACTAAGGTGGGTGATGGGCCATGATTCCTTGGGTGTCATGGTGCATATGGAATGCTTCAGGTCACACTGGGTGCCCTGTGGACAACAGTGAAGGTGGTCACTGCAGCACACCGCCTAGTGTGAAAAGAAAAGGAAAAGCTGAGAGCACAAACTTCAGATACAATAAGGAACTCCTGCACCTACCAAGCTTGGACAGAGGAGGGGCAAAAAGGCTCAAGACATGCTGCTGTTGGCTCCCACCTGAGCCAAGCACCCCATGATCATTCTTTAGTTAAGGACAGTGTGGCTTATCTAATTAGTAGGCTAATAACTTAGGTCTCCTCATGGTGAACAAGTTTATCTGGAGTCTGCATCTTAGATTGAAGGAGCTAGACTAATCTTAATAGCTCAGGTGAAGTCAATAGGTTTGCAGTTAGCAAAAATAAATTGTATGTTACTAATTATTTTCATATAAGAACAAAGAGTGTGGTGGAGAAGACTACAAAAAACTTGAAAAATGTTGGGCATTTAAAATGACCCCTAAATTTAATTGCTTGGATCCTGATGCATAAAAATATTGCAAACCACCAAAGCAAATAATTTGAAACAATCAAAATATAGTAAACATAAAATGCAATATGCAAAGAAGACAGAACCAAATATGCAGAGATAGAACCAAAAGAGACAACTAGATCACCAACTAAAAGTAATTCTAATGAAGCAACACAACTTATCCTAATAGCCACGAAACAAGTAATTCATGGCACACTACAGTAATTCATTTAAGATATCAGCAAAAGATGTGGGAGAATAAACAAGGAAGAAAACCTTTAAGGGAGTCATGATATCAAATATTCCTTAGTCAAAGGACTACCTTCTGATGAATTCCATTCCTTCCCAATCCCAAGGAAACGCTCTGGAAGGCAATTGCCATCAAGCAAAATTACCTAGCTAACAGGCCATTCTAGTTTTCTCAAAGAAAAGTTCAGCGATACAGTAGGTTGTGGATGGAGTTAAGGACATGGAAGTCCCCAATATCACTCCCACCATAAGCAGGGAGAGATGTCCTGATCGAACAATGCAGGTAGCCATTTGCTCCAAATCTATTCTAGTGCTGCAGCCTGGCATAGTTGCGTGTCACCAGAGAGGCCATCGTGATGCAATCCCTGTCCCCTTTTGTAAGCACACATACAAAAGGGGTTAATTTAACATCTATCATCTTGCTTTTTTTTTTTAAACACCACCCCCAGCACTGCAAATTGACACAAATAGGAAATTCCTTCTAAAACTAGACACCGGTTTTAGACAGTTGGGTAATCCTACCCTGTACTTACGTTTTGTAAAGGGCAACAACCATACTGGCCAGTTGGGAGCAGGCAGCAAGTGGCAGCATCTGGACAGGAAGAGTGATTACCAGGACAGATTTTTTTTTGAGTCAAATCTGTAAAATGAGAAAAGGTTATCTCCTCAAGAGGTGAAATAAAAAGCCTCTGTGGGAAAGATAGACAGTGTAATGGATTGCTATCCTCTTTGGTGAGCATAGGATGCTGAAGAGAAAGCATCACCCAGCACACTCCACCTAGCATTAATAACGGATTAAAGCAGGGGTCCCCAACTCCTGGGCTACAGACCGGTCTCAGTCCAGGGTGTGTTAGGAACTGGGCTGTGCAAGCAGTGGGGGAGCAAGTGAAGCTTCACGTGTGCATGTGCAAGATCTAGGTTGCACCATTCCCTCCTTAGCGATCTGTGGAAGACATTTTTTTCTTCCAAAACCAATTCCTAACACCAGAAAGGTTGGGGACCACTGAATTAAAGTGCAAATCTCACCATGAACAAAAAAAAAAAAATTACAATAAACCTAGTTCTATTTCTTTACTCCATACTTAACACCGGGGTCCGTTTCTTTGCTGGAAACTTCTTTGAAAGAGGCTGTTCCCCAAAAGTTTCAAGGCATCGTGCCTCAACTAGATCACAAGTTGTGCCATGGGGACAGCAGTGAATCTTGTCTGCACAGCAGGATGCCTGGGAAAAGAAGGGGATGAGTGCACCATCATTCCCCACCATTATCTTTTCCCATAGTGCTCAATGAACAGCTCTGTACCAACACACCTCTTAAAAAGTTTTATTAATCAAAACAGCACACTGGAATATTAACGCAAAACACAAATGTACTTTATGTGGAATGCAATATTGAATATGAAGAGTACTTGTTTGCTTCAGTAATTTCACACTGCAACTTGCTTTGTGATTGTTTCTTTCATATTTTAAGCAAATATGAACTTATAGGCCAGATTCATTAAACAAAGCTTTTTTAAATGTGGACTTTCCCAAGAAGCCTGTAATGTGGCAGGCTAGGTATAGAAGTCACTTTCCTGGAAAAAAACAGATACTGTTACATACCATTTTATTTGATTTTCTGTGTTGTTTTACAGTTGTCCCTATTTGGTAATGTAATGGGAAAGCTGATAGAAATCTTACTTCACATTTTTTTTTAAAAAATACACCTAGTCTCTACAGTTGCACAGCTATATGAAAATATTTCCTTTGGTTGGACTCAGAGACAAGCTGCTCAGAACTCTGGGCGGGCAGAAATTGTGATGCAAGAATGTGATTCAGTGCCCTCTCTGCTTGTTAAAACCGCAAATGTACTATGCAACTGAGAAACTTTTAAAATATTGTTGACAATTCAGCAAACTGAATAACCTAAATGTTGGCCAACACTTTTTGTTTTAGGAAAGCCAGTGCAGAATTATGAAGACTTCAGAATTAGATGTTTTATGATGCAGTGCAAAGGTGTGCAAGTTTTGAGAGACCATGGATCTTGGGAGATGGAGGCCAGTGTACAGGAACTCGATGGTAGGGAGTGACTGGGATGGGGTTTTTTTTTGGGGGGGGGATATGCTTGACAGGAGGAACATCACCATTCTCCCTATACCCAATCCTAGGAAAGCACCAAAAATTCATGTTACTGGAATTCGGTCACTGATTACCTGCCACTTTCAGCCTTATTAGTTTATAGGCTAAAAGACTCAAATGAAACAGAATGTTCCACTGAAGTTTAGCCTTCACAAGATACTAAATATAATTCTGGGTAATCAAGAGTGATGCAAATCATTTGGAGTTGCTTGCTCCACAAACAATTATTTGCCTCAAATAGTTTGCCCCAAAGAATATCTGGACTGATAGATAAGAGAGTGAAATTCAGTGACTTCATTAAAAAATAATAATCAAAGAGCCAGTTTTTACCTCTGTCTGCATGAAAATATCTTCACTTGCCCATATCTAAGTTCCGTACCTCTGGCATTGGACAACATCCCCAGGATTCATCAGCCATCAAGCAACAGGTGGAGCCATCTGGGCATTCCCATTCGCTATCTGGGCATTGCACAGCCCTGACTATAACAGCAGAGGTTAAATCTGGAATGCAAAATAAGTAGAACTTAGAAGTGACATCTTAAGTTTGAAGTCTTTCTTCTGCATAAAACAGGCACTTGATTTGTCTACGCCATGATGCTCCTCTGACAAGACAAGGTTCTCTTTTCAAATCAAAACCAACCTAAAATAAACTTCCTGGTGGAATAAATACATGAAGAGCCAATATACTGGCTAAACTAGGCCTTAAATCTAACTTAACTTATATTAAAATTAAATCTACTTAGTAGGATTATTCTGCAAACATCATTCTGAATGATTAAAATCATTCATCCACTGATAACATTTATTATAACTGGCAATAATTCTGGGGTCACATCTCTAAGGCTCTGGAGGTTGCAATATGGCTTATGTCCCAGTTTATAAAAAAGCTTATACTAAATCCTTTTGTCTAAAAAAGCAGATTTAGCCTGTTTTATTTGCTTACCCTGGTGAAACAAATACATCTCTCTAAGGAAGCACTGAATTGAGTTCCTTGAATTGGGAGATTATTTTTGTTACTGAAGTATTTTTAATGTTCCTATGACTCTAATTTGTCCCACTTTGTCTCCAAATACCTTCATTTTCTATGCAGACTCTTCCATCAGTGCTGCAGTGGGTGCCAAGGGGACAGCAATGGTGTCCATCAACACAAGAAATGGCCTGGAGGTGAGATAAAAGAGAGGCAAAGGCCCCAAAGTATTCAGAATAACAAATACAGCAGAAGATCTGGAAAGATCTGGAAATTCAGCAGAAAATCTGGAAACCGGAGTGTTACAAGCCCTGAAGTTTAATTTCTCTAACAGATGTGCCACTTATCAAACATGACTGTGAACTAGGCTAGAGAGAAAAAAAGGATATGTGTGCTATTTTGGTTTGCTGTAGTAAATATAGAGAAGAAAATGAAGCCACTGCATATGTGGTCAGAAGATTTTTTTTCCCCTCTGCCTTTGGTAATAATTTCTCTATAGCTTTTTACTACCGTGTTTCTCACAAAATAAGGCCGGGCCCTTTTTTTTTTTAAACTCCCGAAAAAACGGCTAGGCCGTCTTTTCAGGGGTGACTTAATTCCCTCCCTTTGCATCCTTGGGTGGACAGGCGGCAACAGCTTGGCGTTGGGGGTGCGCACCCGTCTGCCAAGCAAAAGAGCCGGGCCGACCTGAGCTTGGCTTCCTTCCCAAGTCCCTCCAGCGCGAACCCGTAGGTGCCACCGGGAGAGGCTGCCTGAGGCAGTGATAGTGCCCACCCATCCGCGGACAGGGAGGCGAGGTGATGGCAGCGCTGCTTCCCTGGCCGTCGGAGAGAGGCCAAAGCCGCCCGTCCTTTCCACCCCTCGCCCAGCCCATCCCCACGCATCTCCAAATGCGCCGGCAGCTCCAAATGCTGCAGCAGAACGGGCATCAGACAGAGGCACTGACTCGGCGGGGCTCAGTTCGGAGAACGTGGTGCAGGCCGTTGCCTTGCCTCCCTGTCCATGGATGGATGGGTGCTATCACTGCCTCGGGCGGCCTCTCCTGGTGGCACCTTCAGGTTCGGGCTGGAGGGGCTTGGGAAGGAAGCCAAGCTTGGGTCGGCCCGACTCTTTTGCTTGGCAGGCGGGTGCGCACCCGCGGCTCGCTTTCCCAGCTCTGCCGAGCCCACACAGCTCCGGCGTGGTCCTGGTGGGATGAGGGCCCAGCAGGGAGGTGCTCGCTGTCTTGGCGAGAGCTCTGCTGCTGGGAAGGAGGGCCCGCCTGTCAGCTGTGCTGGGCGCCCCAGGCGAAGCTCTTCACGCTCTGCCCGGCGTCAGGCAGGGATGGCGGCTGGGTGCTTCTCCCAGGGTGGACCGATCCTGTGCTGTGGCCCCGGGAGATTCGCCTCCCCACGTGGGGTTGGGCAGGGGAGGCTTTGTTGTAGTAGGGTGTCGTTTTTAAAAGAATTGGCTTTACCTTCGAAGGCAAAGGTAAGGCGGTGACAGGAGCACCTGAAGCCAAGTGTCTCAGGGCTCCGGTTGCAGGGAGGAGCCCTGGCTGGCCGCGCATGCCTGCGCCAAACGCTGCAGCGTTGCTCTAAACACCATGGCAGCAAGGGAGAAGGGAAAGCAATGGTGGCGGAAGGTCTCCCGATACGAAGTGCCCCACCAACGCAGGCAGCACCATATCTGGGCATGCAACAAAAGTACTTCCTAACGGCAAGCCCCCCAACCCCGCCATTTCCCCCCATTTCACATGTTTAATATAGGCCTTGATTTGGGGGGAGGGGCTTAATTTGATTTTATGCCAATAAAACATGCTGGGCCTTCCTATTGGTGGAGGCTGTATTGTTGGAGAAACACGGTAGGTTTGCAAGTAGTTTGCTTTCAGATTCTAGAACTACAGTCCTCTTTCTCTTCCCATTGGTTCTTTTTAGTCAACATATTTCTTTCTCTTCATACCTGGTACCTTCTAAATGTGTTGGAACTATAGTTCCCAGAATTTCAATTAATATGGCCATATGCCATGGGAATTCTGGGAAGTGAAAATAAAAGCTTCCAAATATATCAGTTATCTATACAATTCTAAAACATTTCAACCTCATAGTTTTTCATTTCTATTTAACCTCCAGCTAGGAACCAAATCCAAGCAGGAAAGATATGGGAAATATATGGCACTCTAGAAATGATAATGTATTGTTATTGCCTATCCTCCCCGATATAATTTGGATACAAGGAGCAGTGATTGAATGATATCTGAGGAACCAGGATTCTTGGATATCCTTGTATTAGAATATTTATCTTAGCTTCTCTGATCTAATAAACCTCCAGATGTTAGGAATGTTAAATCCAATGTTCCCAGGTAGCGGGATCACTGGATACAATAACTATAAAGAATAGTAATTATAATCTTCTACATAGGAAGGCCACTGGAAGTTAAAAGCTGTTCATTTAATCTGTTATACTGCGGCTCAGTACAGAGCAAAGTAGGGTTGGCATGCAGACAAGAACTCAGGAGGTAAGAGGTAAATCAGTTCAATTCGTTCTATTAAGAAAGGTGTTCTGAGGCTTGCCAGTCCTCATCTCATTTTCAGGTCCAAAGCTCACCTCCTCCCAAGGACAGCAGGCAAAGGTGGAATTTAGGCTGAGCTGGCAGGAGTGTGTCACTGGACATGTGCTAGCATCGGGACACACAACCCCAGATACCTCATTCCTGCTCTCTGGGGGCAACATGCGGAGGGATGCTCCTGTGAACTGTAAATGAAAAAGATGAGACAAGAAGAAGACAGGCAACTTTGATCCCATCCCCCAAGATTGCAAATTGCAAATTGCAAGGTCTAATATAGTATATTCTTTTAGGAATTGTCAGCTCCAGAGAAGCTGGATGCCCTGTAACAAAGCTAGATAATAAAACAGCAATATTCAGACTTTTTTTTAATGAAGTCCTTGTTGTTCTCAGAGAGAGCATATATATCATTGACCTACATATAATCTTTTCTATTGGCATTTTTGCCTTATGTTGTTTTATTCAAGCTTTGCTAATGGAAATGCTTCTATCTTTTTAGGAAACCATTTTCTGCCCCATCCATAGCAGAAGAGTAACATAATAAAAACTCCTACCTGAGGCTGACCACAACAGGTATACTTATCTCCTTCAGGGAGCTTGCAACATATTGAAGATCCTCCACATTTCTGCCCATCAGGGCATTTTAAAGAAGAGGCTGTTGTGCTCAATACCAGGAAGACTATGAAGTGCACCCACATCCTTGCCATGAACCTAGATAGGAGAATAATAAAGTAATGAGGTACTTCACAGCCCTGGCACTGCTGTGAAATACTCGGCCCTCAAGGAAGTCTGACCAAGCCCCTCCTCATAAATTAAGAGCTGCTGCTGACCTTTATAAGTGCAGAATTCTGTCTTATAAGCTATTTAGTGACTCATCAACTAAAAGAACCTCATGTGACAGTCATTAAAAGCAGGAGGGGAAGATCACATGGATGGGCTTTTGTTGTAAAGCCTAGGAAAACTTGATAACAGGAGATATATAGGGTGTATCAACAATAAGGCCAATTTTTTTTTTTCAGAGAAAACGTTTCAGCTTTTACATTATTCATGTAATGTTTATGAGTCAAACAAATAAAGTGTTTAGAAGAAATCAGCATTTCATTTGAACATTTAATATAATTTATAAGGGCTCAATTTTTCATACTATATAATATTTTGGGTTCATTCCAAAACTGGTTCTTATACATACAAATACAACAATTCAAAGCATTGCACATCTTTGTGTATGTGCATGTACACACACGTGTCTAGGTGCACTCTTGCTCACTCACTCTCTTTCAACCATATCTCCCTAGAAATGGATAAATACCCCATGAAAGTCCATAACTGATTCTATAACCATACCCAGTCACATCCAATTGTATGTTTCCATCATGTAAGAGGCCATAATTCTAACTATCCCCTTCCAGCACAAGAGAGTTGTAATCCATAAATGACAACTAAAGATGTGAGATTGGAGAAGACTGGGACATCTTAACCCCACCACTAACTTTCCCTACAAAGCCTTATATATGTATTCCAGGATCCTGCAAACTGGAAGAGTACTTAAGCCCCAATAATTAACATTCTGAAATTATTATTACATCCAGAACTTCTTGTATTTTATGATGAGTTTAAGAAATTAAAATGTTTCAGAGTGTCATTTATGCAAAGAATTTTAAATGAATAGATATTATGTATCTTAGGAAACAAATAATACCAACTGATATCCTAGCTATCTAGGTTTAATACTTGAATAGCATCCTACTTCTGACACCCTAAAGTGGGCTGTATCCAAGACCACAAATTCAAAGTTTTTCTGTTCCCTTCTGATTTAACTGAAGCTAGTTTATTGCTCAATTGTCAATAAAGTTCTTGATTACAACAGAAAAATTAAAATTATTACAACTATAAAATTACTTTTTTTACAAGTTATACATCTAAGCATTTTCAATTGATGCAGAAGTCACTTAGAAAAGGACCAACTAAAACTCTGCTACAGAAGCTCACAAATCTTAGTTATTTAGTTAGTGGCAAAAAACCAATATCCAGGTTGATATATACACCAGATCGCACTGTACACTCTGATCTGGAAAAATGATCCAACCCAACTTGTCTTTATCATTAATTAAGCAAATCAAGTTGTACTACTCAATATTTTTAATGTGCTTCATAATACAGTATATTACAGCTTATGAGTTGCCCCAGAGAATAATAACCAGCCACATATTATGAGAATGACGCAGAAAACTGAAGCAAGGAGAATGCCTGTGCATGCACAACGTGACAATTCAGAAACAGCTGCTTGTGTCACGGGTGAAACTAGTTACCAGTTCCTTCTTTTTCTTTCAATATTCTCTTGCACCATTTGATACTTGCGAATGAATTCCAAGGTGATTAGTTAAAATGCATATGCATATAATTATTCCAGATCCTATTCACAACACTTCCCACAAGCTCTCGTCCCAAAGCCAGTGGTGCTCCAGAGCAGATACCACTTCAGTGGAGAATCATTTGACCAAAAAATAAATCGACCTCAAGTAGGGAGTTGAAAACTTCTAAAAGCACGTACTCCCCTCATTCTCATACAGGCGCTTTAAACCAAGGGTGTCAAACTCATGGCATCATAGGGGACGTGCATAAGCGCACCAAAATGTGCCTACCATCCCTGTCCTATTGTTTCTTTTTTTCTTATTTATATCCATTTCATGTATTTATAACCATGTTTATACTTATACCTGTTATCTAATAATTGTTTGACAAAATAAATAAGCATGATTTGAACATTTAATATAATTTATAAGGGCTGATTTTTTGAGGGTGTGGACACAAGTTTGACAGCTCTGCTTTAGATGCTTACACACAGTTCCTCAAACAATACTGTGTATATTCTCCAATCTCAATCACATATGCACACAAAATTCATAGCCACTCCTCCTCGGATAACCCATACAGATTGAGTAACCATTTTGTATGTTCCAACAATAAGAAAACTTCCTTTTTTTCACTCCCTCAATCTCAGAGCTGCCGTTGTTCAGAAGTAAGCCCTTTTGCCTCTCAAGGCACTGAAGAGGCCCAGAGAGTTTGCCAAATGAAATGTAACAGCTTGTGAACCTATGAGCTCTCAATTTTTATATATACAGCTTGTGGTTACAAATAAAAGATCTGAGATCTTGTACTGAAAAATAATTGCTGCAAGAGAAATTACTCAATAGCATGTTGCATAAGATTTTAGCAAGGCTGAGAAAAGGAAAATGATGAAGATAGGATTTTGTCAATCCTCCAGGAAACATTAGATGAAATAAATATTTTATTATAAGGCTACATTAACAGAAACTTGCAAGTTTGAAAGTACAGATTTCCTGCCACTACATTTAACTGCTTAATCCATTAGGGTGGGTCCTTTCTATGTTTCTTTCTCTGACCCCACTAAACCACTGGGTCTCCTGCCTCTTTTGTCCAATTCTTTCCTAGGCAGCATCTTTCCCCCAAAGTCATCCACACATTCCATTACAGATTCACTGAAAATCAGATGAACTTGAGCAATGAGTTTCCCTTCTTCACTTATGCAGTTCTTAACTCCAACCTGAAAACAAAAGATATGACAAGAGCCTAACAGGAGCCTGTTCCAAACCTAGCAGCCATCTGGTATGAAACATAGGTTTGACTACCTGAAGCACTGAAGTGTACTTCTGCAAGATAACTCCAGCAAGAAATAGAGAGAGAACTGTGTGGTCTGGGACAACTAAATCAATTGCTTCTTCCCAGCCAGACACACAATTCTCAGCAGGCATCAGGTGACTGTAAAGAAAAAGAACAAGGCAGAAATTCATTTGAAAATCCAGGAACTCCATTTATTATTCTAAAACCTCTGGGGGCTGTTGAGGAGTGCCAGTATCTCCTCTTACGACATGCCTTACAAGGGTTTTTTTTTCCTTGTCATCTCTCTGCTCTAACCCTTTTCCAGCATGTTTTGGTGAATGGAGAAGTCAGGGAGATGGCTAGTTGTGTGTTCATCAAGGGTCAGCAATATCAACATCAGAAGAACCTGTGAATTATTTACTTAGAGAAAACTGTAAATGTTTTGTGTAGCAATTTGCAAGTAGAGCTGTATATGAAAGAACCACAACATTTCCAAATGCTGTTAAAGCCTGAATCTATCCAACGATATACATGTGCATCTCACACCCGAGAGCCATCCAAACCCAACAAATTGCTTGACATCATCATAATCGAACCCAAACAAGGTGCTTGATTATATCCATTAGGAAAAGCATCTCTTAAAAGCACTAAGGGGGAAATCCTATTGGACAGAAGACTCGGACATGGCGGTTCCCATCACACACACCTAACTCACGAGGATTGTTTTAATAGGTTATATTCGGCAGTCTGGTAATTCAAGGAGGAGTTAACCGGGTGGCTGTGTCGACATCTGCAAAAGCCAAATCCTGCCTCTAAGGATATCCCGCAAAGAGATGACGGAGGGTTATTCCTGCCCCTCCCACATCCTCCCGTCAACTCCGGGGGTGAGGGAGAAAGAGAGGGAGGCGAGGCTGAACGAAGGCGAGCATGGAAAGGTAAGAGCCCCATCAGATCCCCCCCACTCCTCCATTTTGTCCCCCACAGAACCAAGCCGCAAAAACTGGGAGTGATCCCCCCAACTTTGGTTCCCCCCACAACATCATGCAGTCCGAAACATCCGGACACAGGTTAACGGAGCAATCTGCAGAAAGGACAATGGAGCCTTTCCACGTCGCCAAAACGCTGCGCCAGAAAACTCACCTTCAGTACCGGCGATCTCGATGTTGGGGCTAGTAAACCTGCAGTAGCCGCTTACCTCGTAAAGTAAAGCGAGCAAAGTAAGACTCAAGCCAAGCCACGCCCTTCTAATTAGGTTTGACCCTCTAGCTCTTCCCTACTCTGTTGGGATTGGCTCTTTTTTCTCCAGGAGGGCGTGGAGGCGAAAGGGAAACACCGCAGCTCTTTGTTTTGGATTGGTGGGCTTTCTCCCTAATCCCGCCTCCTCACCCGAACGTAAATGCAAAAATATCACGAGATCTATTGGCCAAGACTCAAACCCTCCTGAGATTCAAATAGGATTTCGGGAACACGTGACAAGGTGGGACGAAGGATTTACCCGGTGGCGGCGGGGGGGGGTCGATTCAAGCACCGGAACTTCTTATGTTGATCGTGCGGCTGCCGGGGCGCAGCCCGGAAGTGGTATTCAAAAAGAGCGTCTCTTTTAAAGGGTGCACAACGGTATTAAGAGTCCCCGTTCCAGGCATGTGATGGCGGTGATTTTATTGGCCGCTTTCGAAGACATGGCAGGGCATTCAGCCTTTCGGGCACTTAGACAAAAGCAGTAAATATTTCTGCAAAGAAAGTAGGAGGGGAGGAAGGGCCCTGGGCTCTAGATTTCACAAGGCATGTGGAAGTATTTCCCTGCTATTTCAACTCAATAGTGAAGAAAATAAAATACTGTTATTCTTTTATAATAGAATAAGAAATATTAAGTGCATTATTAAACTGTGTTGTCTTTGTTGCTGTTTCCTAACCACAAAATATGTTCAGTTAAACAAAACGTGCTGGATAGTTGCAGGCTTCTTAGAAAACAGGAACAGAAGCTACAAGTAAACAAGATAAGATATCCGGTGCCTAGGAAGAAACGGTCAAGCCGATCCTTCACCTTATAGTATGACTTAAGAGGTAATAAGGGGAGTGGGGAGGGCTTCTTAGGCATGGAGTGTATTGTGTAGACAGTGTATAAAATGTATTGTTTGACCATTACATCTTGCTCTTCTTGTACCCAATCCACTTTGGAATGGACTTGAAGGCCCGTTTGCAAACGCTTATTTTAATAAACCTTTGAATTGTGAACCTGACTTGTCTCTGTATTGTGAGTATTGTAGGAAGTTAGCACCCACCCCTCTCCTAGAAAATTGAAATGTCTTAGGAAATACTTAAAAAGGCAGAATATTTCCCCTAAAGCAGGGGTGGGCAAACTACGGCCCGTGGGCCACATCCGGTCTGTCCAATCTGGCCTGCCCCTGAAAAAAAATCACTGGGCATGGCTTGGATGCCCCTGAGCGCGGTTTGCTGTTTGTTGTCTCCTGGGACTCGTGTTTGGAAAGCATGGAAAGTAGTAGCAAGAGCAGCCGCGGTGTTATTTTTTCTTATATATAATATATATATATCTATATTATAAAGGGCCCATTATAAAATGCAGCAAATTATATATAAGAATATATATATATATATTTTCTGAGGTTCTCGCGGGTATTTGTATGTGGATCTTTGGTTGTTCGGGTTTTCTCCCGCGTAAGATTC